GCACTGGGTGTTGTTAAAACACTCGCTGGTACCGCGGCCACCCCAGGTCCATCACTAGCAACATTGGATGAACGCTGCCATTTCGGCTGGTCCTTGAGGATGTCCCAGCAATGAACCAATTTAAATGGTGTTTGCTTCTTGTTTCACTTTTGGGCTTTGAAATACTCATGCGCGTCGGCCATGTACTGCTCGGTGTTGTATCCAGAGCGAACGATCGATGTCGATAGTTTGACCGCCGACGCGAATGCAGCAACTTGTTTGTTGATTGTATCTCTCCCGTGAATGAATGTAGAGACCATCACCAGTTCTATAGTACAGTATTGCAAATGTTACCCTTGCATTCATATACCAGTAGCAAATTAGCTTATCATGCACTATACCTCTGTGTGCATTCAGGACTACTGTTGTAGGCTGCAGCTACTCGGGTGTAGAAATGACTTGCAGTTTGATCGTTTCCGACGATAGGATGAGGGAGGCACTCAGCCATGCGTGACACAGCTGCACCTGCTCATGTGGGGTGAAGTTCCGGGAGCGTTCCTTCATTGCTTTTTTGCTTGGAATGGGAAACAAAGCCACGAATCGATGGAGTCGTAGATGAATATGATTGGTCAGTTGAGTTACTGGAGTCCAGTACTCCAACAAAAATTCCAACAAATTTACTGGAATATTTGTTGGAGTAGTGGAGTCCAGTAACTTTTTTACTGGCTATTGGTACTGGTGCGAACGATTTTTTTGGAATTCCAGTAAATCGCCCAATAAAATTATTGGGACCTGAGAACTGCTGGTACCACACGGTGCAGATGCTCTTATGCAATTTTTCCCCTTAGGGTACCGGTGTACTGTAGTATGTGAGCACTTTATTTTGAAGTCAAATGACCGACAACACCGTGCGGCAAGCGAAAACGAGATGGGCGCGGCTTCGCTCTGCCATTCGAAAGCACGTCGAGAACTCAACCACAGACCCACACCCTCCGTCGGCGATGTCCATGTTCTCGTTCTATCCCGTGGCATCAACGCTCCTCTCCGACCGGCCGCCATTTCATCGCGACTACGAGTGGCGGCGGTACCCGCTGCCTCGTCCACCGCACCACCTGTCGCTACACGCCCGCAAAGAGCAATGCACCATATCTGTCCACGAACTTGCAGTGCAATCAGTGGACAACACAGGAAATATCCGCACGTGGCCATGCGAAGACCTGCTGTGGCGCGTTCTCATCGACAAGTTTCCCGACACTGCACCTCCCAGGCGCGTCCTCGAGCTTGGCGCTGGCATGTGTGGCGTCGCAGGCCTTGCGTTGGCATGTCAATTGCCCGCCACCTCAATCTCCCACGTCGTCGTGACCGATGGCAATGCTTCGTGTGTGGAGAACCTTCGACTCAATGTGGAAGCAAACATTGCGCAGGGCCACCTCCGGGCGCACTCGGTGACCGCGGAACTCCTGGCGTGGAGTCGAGCCATGCTGCCAGTAGCGGCGGACCCGTTCGACGTCGTGATTGCAAGCGACTGCTTGTTCTTCGAATCGTTTCACGTGGATTTGGTGCACACATTATGCCAAGTCACTCGACCGCGTACGGGTGTTATTTACCTCCTCCAGCCGTCCCGCGGTGGGTCACTGGAGCGATTCGTGGCGCTGGCACAAGAGCACTTTACTGTGGTCGTGGACATCGACTTTGACGCGGCTGTGATGGCCCAACATGCGCACTTCTTGCACGATCCTCAGTACATCCCGAGTTTGCACCAGCCCATTCTCGTCACGTTAACCTGGCCATCACCCTTGTAACACGAACTTTCCACACAAAACGACATGCATTTGTACCTGTTGTCTCGCTTGTGGGCGACATCTTTCGTCGACACTTAACATTACTGGCCATATAAAGTACGTCGAAGTAGTAGTTAGTACCCAACCATGTAGTACGACACTATATTTTTTCGGGGTTAAATTGGACAAATGCTGAAGTATTTGTAGCGTTGTGTCCGTGCAAATGGCCGTCGTCTTCCTTCGAAAGTGTCGGACATGATGCCGTCGACGTTGCTTGCGAACGAACGACAGAGTTGTTTTTGTTCGCTTAATTGTCAATTCGAGAAATAATCATTATATTTGTGTACAAAAACATACGTTACTACAGTAACATTAAATACAGCCTTGCAATTTGCTGGTTTCTGTATTTAATTGTCAATTAATTTTACAATAATTCTCCCCACCAAAAATCCTTATATTTTCTCAACGAAGTTTGGTATTATTAATACATATGAAAAAGACATCCATCATCTCACGTTAGGTCGCCTTGTTCTGGCCAATGCGAAGGATGGGCTTGCCGCAGATGCTGAACTGGTAGCCGGGCGCGAAGCGGTCCACGGGGTTCGTGCGCACGCCAAAGAGAGCCACAACACCGACGATGGTCGTGGCGACGATCCAGTGAATGTTTTGGATGTACGCTTCGACGAGCGGGATCTTATCGACCTTGTACAAGTGGTTGAAGTTGAAGGTGAAGCCGAGGCCGCCGCCGACGCCCGCGATGGACCACGCGGTCAAGATGAATCCGTGGAGCGCGCCAATGTTGTACGCGCCAAACATGTCGGTGAGGAAGGCGGGGATGGTGCCGAAGCCGCCGCCGTAGCAGAGCGTGAGCAGCCAGATCTCGAACCGGAACAGGTCGTAGTTCTTGTTGCGCATGATCGTGGGCAACGTGATGAGAATGACCATTTGCGTGACAAGGGTCGTGAAAAAGATGCACTTCCGCGCGAACGGCGGGTTCAAGTGAAAGAGGCGCACGAGCAGGTCGGACAACATGGGCACGAACAGACGACCGCAGCAGTTGAACGCGCCGTTGATCGAGACGACGGTCGCGCCTTCGTCGTCAGTCTGCCCGAATACCCCCGTGGCCATGGGTGCAAGGCGGGAGAGCACGACAAGCCCAAACACAATATTCCCGAACAACATGAAGTACATGAAGAAAAAGTCGGCCGAGAGGAGGCAGCTGATCATGCTCATGTTCTTGACGTTCTTGTACCCGTCCTGGTGCTTGGCGTGGGCTTCGTGGACGTCGCGGCCCCCGTCGTCGTTGACGGCTTCGTACTCGGTGATGTTGTCTTTGGTCACACCGGGCGATTGAATGCTTTTGATTTCCTTGCCATCAACTTGGTCGGCTTGTTCGATCAAGTGGTCGTCTTCGCCTTCGACGTGCACGACGCCGTGGATGTTGATGCCGCCGACGTTGAAGCCCGGGGGAGGCGTCCGCATGCACAGCGCGCAGAAGAACATGACCGACGACATGACGATGCCCAGAAACAAGAACGACCCGGGCAGCCCGAACGCTTTGATGGCCGGCAAGTACACTTTGCCCCACACGATGGAGCCAGCGCCAAAGCCACCGACGGCAAACCCCGCGGCGGTCCCGCGCATGTCGGGGAACCACTTTTGCAGCGCTGACACCGGGGAAATGTAGTTGATGCCGAGCCCAAACCCAGACACGAGGCCGTACCCAAGGTACACGCCGACCATGGATTCGTTGGCGAGCGAGATGGCGGCAATGATGTACCCGATGAGAAAGCACGACGACCCGAGGGACATGCCGGCGCGAGGGCCGTTGCGTTCGAGCCACGGACCGAGCAGGGCCGCCGTGGAGCCCAAGAGTCCGCATGCAATGTAGAACGTGTACACGGCGTTCCCGGCCGTGGCGTTCTTGTAAATGTACGTGTCGATGGGGGTGTTGTAGATAGACCACGAATACAGCGACCCGCAGCAGAATTGACACAAGAAGGACGCGACGAAGAGGTACCACCGGTTAAACTTGACCAGCTTGGACGTAAAGTACCGGTTGCCGAACCATGGCACGCAGAACAAGTACCTCTCGGCTTCGATCTGCTCGACAGTCTTCACGGGCGGATTGGACGTCCAGTGGCGGGCAAGGCATTGCACGATCGACGACATGCTGTTGATATCGACGGGGCAAATTCGAAACTGAGCGGTTCGAATCCATGCTCATGTCGTTTCGAGCGAGGAAATGGAAGGTGCACGTGGGCTTGAAGTTGGAGCTAAGACTTTTGTTTTTGAAATTGTATGCTTCTTTATATATGATATATGCCACGAGATGATGTTGAATGGAATAATCGGTAAAAATGATTGGTGGCTTGCATATGTTTTGAATTACTGGCCGCGGTGAAACAAGGGGTTGCCGTTTGGCAATTGGCTTGAACCAGCTGACCAGGTGGCCAGGGTTACTAGTAGTAGCTACTATTTCGTCACGAGACAGGGTTGCGAGGTGGCTTGCCCCACGCTACTTTTTTTGTTGCGCTGTTAAATGCCTGAACTTCGGGGGTATCATTATAACATCCCAAGCTTCAGACGTGGAACAGTCGTGTGTTCACTAGTACAAATGGAATGAAATATCAACACTTAGCTTCAACGATGGGGCATGATCACACTGACGACACAGCGAGGTTTGTTACTCAATCGCAGACAAATACCCAACTTCAAGGAACTTCCCCCACATTCCTTTGAAATTGGTAAGTTATCGAAGAAACCACTCTTCCATACTTTGCCCCTGCATTGTACTCCCCGCCAAACTGCGACCGCATAACTTTGGACTGCCAGGAACAACACGCCGGCTACGACCCCACGCGACCCCTCCAACAGCATATTGAATTGCCAGATGGATGCTTGCTGTACTAGTACATAGCAGTTGATGGACAGGCTACAGTATACTAAGTAGTACTGTAGTACTACGTTACAGGTACGGTAACGTTATTAATACTATTCAGACAACGAGGGAATTTAAGGCTCATCGAAGTTTTGAGTGTCACACACTTTTTTCAGCCAATCAGCAGCAAATCACGAAATACTTAAATTTCTATTGGTGAATTTTTATAATATGTTTCGAATTTCGAACTACGCTATCCAGTCATATCGTGAAATTTGCGCTACACACAGAACTTCGATGAGCCTTAAATTCCCTCGTTGTCTGTAATAGTAGTCGAATGTATAAATATTTCCGACTAAAAAAACGTTAATAAAATAATTGAACACGAGTTACTGTATTAATAGTAATATAACGTGACGATCCAAGTCCAGTACGTAATGGCGCAATCGGATGAGAATCTGGAACGCGAGGCCCACTCCTTGGAAATCGGCACGTTGCTGGCTTGTCTCGCTTGTGGTTTCGGCCAATGACAACCTCGACGGGTTTACCACGTGCGGCCCTATAAGGAACAAACAATGAATGCACCAACTAGTATGCTGGAGTGACAGCTGTAACCTCCTAATATTGTGGTGAAATGGACGCTCGAATACGAAACCCCACGTTCTAACTTACCACCCGTGAAGCGAGCTACATTACCGCGATGGCAAAGGCAACTTCGCCGCTTTTTACCTTATTAAAGTATATTGATTCCAATCCGAGTTATGACGCGGCCTACATTCAGCATCTCGCCGTCGCGGCCGGTATTACACCATGGAATACCCGTTTTGAAAGCTGAAAGTGGCGTTGACGGGGTCCACCGGCCCCCGCCTGTCGTCGCCTCTCATGGTTGAAAAGGCCGTTTTAAGGGAATTACGCACACTAGTAATACTAGACACCCGCACCAGATTGCACGCCATCTGGCGTGGGAGTATTGCACGTTGAAGTTGAAGTGCCTCTTGGACACAACAAAAATCCTCGATCGACAGGGCAAGCTAATCAATCTTCCATTCCCTCTCCAATATTACTCAAATTCCTTCTCCATGACCATCAAGCAAAGCAAATTGGTGCATCAACACATGGACTGCCCGCAGCACAAGGTGCAGACGCTCCACGAAGAGTTAGCCATCCATACCCGATCTCATCACAATCTCGAGAATAAGCATCGAGAATCTTGATGAAAAAACGAGCGAAGTAATCTCACCGACTGATCGTGGGCAGTTCTTGCGATGCTTGCAACGGCTCATCTGAATGTTCATGAGTTCTCCTGCATAATATACAGTTTGCACAGGAATGGAGTGTTCTGGATGCCATTGCCATTTGGACAAGCCATGAAGGTCATGCGTATGGCGTGTGCTATTGTTGCGGCGATGACGACCACCAAAATCGACGGGGCGTTGAGTAATTGCACAGATATCGATTACGCGCCGCTTGAGCTCCAAGCCCGAGGCTGCTCCACGGCATCTGGAACCAACTTCGAAGCAACCTCCATCAACCTCACGCAAGCCGTGTCCATGTGCCAGTTTGCAGTGTGCAAATCTCTGTTTTCCGACCTTGGAGCCCTTGATTGCACCGAAGCAGACATCCCAGTGAGTTTGGCAGCGACAATCTGCAACTCGTACGTGCCCCCCCCCGGAACCACGTCGTCGGCATCGTCGTCGGCACCGCCCCCTGGTCAGTCGAGCGCCATTCAGACGGGTCTTTGCATACATGTAGCTTTGGCAGCAATGATCATGCAGCTATGGGCATGGGTTAATGTATACTAGTACAAATTTAGTATATGAGGCCCACCACGATTACATCTTAGCTGGATATGCCAATTGGACTTCTATTACACTCGTTTGACAGAGGGTGAGGTGGACTAGGTTGTATGAAGAGCGAACGTCCCACAACCATGCGTAACTTGTTCAGAACATACTGGAGTATTTACTAGCAGTACAGTACAATCGCGTAAAGTGAGATTGATGGATCCGTAGTGTTGGTCAATTTGACAATAACAAGACTCATTCAAGAAAGTAGTGTCGATGCTCACTCCCCAAAGGCATTCGTACCCCCTTCCCCCGAATGTGTCAGTACGACAGCCAAACTCACGCTTGGTGCAGCTCGACTTGCCCTCAATATCGAACGTACGACTATGGATCCTCGTGATTGCGCATTGCACTGTGTTCACTGCAACGTTACAGGACTTCTTGTAACGCTGGACTTATAGCCATGATTAGGGTTGGACTGGTGTATGTACGCCGGAGTAACCGTCAAGGCCAACTGTACTTGCAGTTTCAATGGTACCGTGGCAGTTACACTTGCCCGTACGTCGCTGAAGCGATATATAATTGCAATCTCCATTTCAATCTTTCCTTCCAAAGGACGTTGGTTTACACTGGCATCTCATAGTTTCGTTGGCTAGGTCGATTCATGGTTGTGTCCTCTATGCCGCTTCGAGCACCGTACTGCCTTGCACCGATACAGAGTTCTTGACCACTACGCCCAGTGGTGTGGTGGCCTGCTCCACGGCCTCAGGCCAAGAGTAGGGATAACATCAAGACTCTGCAAGCCTTGCCGAGCTGTACCAATATTCCGCTTGCCAAGATTTCTTCACGGCTCTGAGCACTCTCAAGCGTATGAATGCGACCAGCAGTTCATTTCCCATCGCCACTGCTGGCGCGATCGTCGCCCCAGTGTCGTCGCGGCCACATCGGCCCAACGACCACCCCGGCAGCCGGAGTGTCAAGCGCTACGACTGTGCGAGTACTATAATACTTAGAAGTAGTAAGCAGTAATGGCTTGCTAATTTGCTCATTGGACAGAAAAGAATCCATGTATTGCTCATTCGCTACCCAGGTACAGTATTGGGCAGAAAGGCCGTAACAACACATTCAACATGCACAGGTGAGACCCGTTCGCCGGCTGTTGATCGACGCCTTCTATCTCACGTCTCCGCAGTCCGCATCCACGCAAAGCAGAGACGAATCGGCGACTGTGCTGCCAATGCGCTCTGCGAATGCATCACGTTCGCGCAGTCCAAGAAAGTCGACGCGAGAAACGCACAAGAGCAGGTCGTCCACGACGCCTTCCGAGTTGCCGCCACGAAAGTCGGAGCAGCTTGAAGTCCTGCGTACGTTCGATCCGCAATCCCTATGGAACAGAAGCATCAACGTTATGGCCAAGCAGATGGACCCGCCAGCCTTTGCCGAACGACGAAACCAAGTCGGCCACCGGTCTCTGACTGCTAGCCGCCGAGACCCTATGTGCCCCCACGCGGTTTACGTCAATCACGCGGCGCATTCACTCGCTGTAGGCCACCCCCCATATGTCGCCTACCTCGGGCGCGTGCGGTACCTCCATGTCGCTGGAGGTAATAGTATGTACGGTGGACGATTGCGATTCCCCCTGCTACCTGGTAGTACCTTGGCTGTCACATTGTATATAAATATTTAATCAACCTCTTTGCTATTGATGTGTGTCAACAATCTCGATTGTATGCGTATTCGTGGGAGGACGTGGGGAGCGCCCGAGCTCAACCTCGACCAACTTGTATGTCATGTCTGCGCGTTACATTTCGACCCCGAGATGTTTCAAATCTGTCGCAGCGCTAGGACGACTGCTCAGCGCATGCTGATAACAACCGACTGCCCTCAACGGTACTACGGTAGTTTTTAACAACCTCCCTAATGATATACTAGTACACGATATATACAGTATATGTAGTATTAATCCTTACATGACATGTAGATTCAGTCGAGAGTACTCATTCTCGTAGTACAATCTCATGTCCAGATTGACCATTTCTTTTGGCTCAGTTGGGACTTATAGATCACTTTAAAGCTGACCTAAGTAGGACAAGAACATACCGATGGTCGCTGGTTCAGTCCCAGGTTTCCTCAGGTCCTTGGCATCGACACCAGGAAGCCTGTTAGGGTCGAGTCAGAACCCTCCCCTTTCACTGATTCGACCATTGGACAGATTTCGGTAATCTGTGGAGAAAATGTCATCGTCACTCCAACGAGGTGTCACTCCAACGAGGTGGCCTCCAGATACTGTACACACATGTCCAGTCCTTGACTATGTTTCATAGAGCATTGCCGAAGCCGTGGAGGCAGAGATCGGTAGCGTAGTAGGGAAAATGGCGGCGAGGCTGCGAAATATTTCCATTTCCAGGGCCGTAAAGGCGAAATATTCCCTCCCTAGGGCCCTGCTCAAGAATTCTGCCCTACTTAGGGCTATTCTTTTTGGCCCCTAGGGATTCTCATCACCACCCATTGGTCAATCTGAATTATTTTTTCTGATTGGTTAAAAACATTTTCTATTTAAAAGGCGAAGTCGTTAATAGCCAATAAACTGTCTCGGCTTGGTTTTCATGCAATATTGTGTCCTCTAACAACTTCTCTCACGTTGTTTCAAGAAAGCAACGGCGACATCACCAACGTCCACGACCTGCGGCGGTTCCTGTTGTTACTACTTAAAGAAGAAATTCACATACAAAACATTGGCGCATTAGTTGAGGGAAGCATGGCAGAATCGACTAGTACGTAGTACAAGATTTGGCGATACATGCAAGTCAGAAGTGAAAGCGACTGGAATTCGACGAATTGTAGAGTTTCTACGTTTTATTTGCTTCGGACCCTGATGAAAAAAATGATGAGAATTGCCCTAAGTATGGTAGCCAATCAAGCATGACCCCTCCATAAGGGAAATTGTTTTTTTGCTGCCCTACCCCATATTAGGGAAAATAGGGCGCCTAGGGATTCCCTCCATTACGGCCGACGGATCTCTGCGTGGAGGTTGCAACCACGTCGCAGCCACGCCTACTAACGTTAGTAAACTGTTTTACCAGCGCCTGCCATTCGTGACGACCCACCGCGCCACGCAGCGGGTCACTCGCTTCATTGGGCTGGGGCAATTGGGGGTGTCGACCGACAAGGACAAGAAGTGATTCTATGCGCTCAACCTCGACGTACATCCCTATCGTTCCACATATATCGTCAAAAGGTTGGTTATCCGTATAAAAGCGAGCTTGTATACATAAGACTACAGTACAGTACTGTACCTATTCGGCCCATTTGAGTGGTCGGCCACATTACTACCGGTAACTTACTGTAAGTATTGCATAAGGGGGCCGACGGTGTCAGCATCAATCTTTGTCATTCCTTGACCAGACAATTCAGGCCTGCATGGGCCTACCGGTAGGGTATTCATACCGGTACAACGTCGTCATGCCTCGAAGGATGCTCATCCGGATCATCTGTCGTTGTGTGAAAGGTGCTCGTTCTTCCACATCAGCGACCTCATTTACAACCCGGCAACGGTGCCGCTGTGATTGTTTTCCGTCAAACGAACTTGATTGGCTCAAATGCCACCCAAATCCGTACTCGTTGCACACGGCCGAGTCCCATTGTTTGTGACAGAAAATCGACTAGCACTAGTGGTTGTCGCTTTGCTGTCACTTTGCCTTTCGCCTTCTCCAACATACAATAACCACCATGGTCCGCACATTCTTCTTGGCACTTGCCCTCCCCGCGATCGCGTCCGCCGCCGTGTGCACGGAAGCGGACTTCCTGCCCCTCGCCACCGGCATCATCGCTTGCTCGGCTGCCTCCGGCGTAACCCCCACCACCCTCCAAGGCTCGGCCACGCCTGCTGACATCGTCAAGATGTGCCAGTTCCCAGCCTGCCAAACTTTCTTCTCGTCATTCTCCTCCCTCAAGTGCACGGATGCCGCGGGGAACTCTGTCTCCCAGGCCGGCGCAGCGTGCAGCTTAGTGGGGAAGGCAGCTACCACCGCCCCTGCCACAACGGTGAAGAGCAGTGGCCTCGCCGTCACTGTCCTCTCCACCGGCGCTGTCATCGTCGCCGCGGCGGCCACGTTGGTGTAGATTCCCTTGAAAATGTATTGTATTGTCAAACGAGTACCAGATAGACGTTTTTCATGTCGGATTTGTCAACGGGGAGGATCAAGTAGAGTTCCCAAATAGTACCGGTAGCCGAACAAGATAAAACACGTTGTTCACGTATAAGGCCAAAGCACCCAGTAGTGCAAGATATATGAAATCGACGCAACGATTTGTCCCTCGTTTGTTGAGTTTCGGCACTAAGTATTGACGACACTCTTACTTTGTAAAGGTATAGTGGGACGACGTTTTGGTTGTGTTGTATATACGTAAAGTGGATTATCAAACCTGTGTACTTCACCTAGAATCCAGACTGAAACAACCCCATGATTATCAAACCCGTGAATGGATCCCCCCTGCTAGAAACCCCCCTCGTGCCGGAAATATGCAAGACACGTAGTACAATTCACAGTTTACGCGGCGGGGGAAAACGAGGGGGGGCGTACTATATGTATTTGAAGTGCCTGAGTGGCACATGAATAATAGTGTTCGTCGCCTGGCTCACACTAGAAATCGGCCCTTCTGCAATTACGAACGCCACCATATCTGAAGTCAAATCGTCCTGGAACTGCAGCCTTTGGAAGGTCAAAGGTTGGGCCTATCTCATTTAGGGAGTACGACCGAACAAAAAAGTCCAGGGAGATCGACTGATGAAGCTGACACTAACAGTAATGTTCGTATTAATAGTATTTATTATGCCTATTCATAAGTTAGTAGTATTTAGTACTTATGTAGTGTACTGTATACAGATGATACACCCTCTTCAGTTGACGACGGCCACAAAAATCCTCCTCGGGTAGTCATAAAAGATCCAGGCAATCTAATTATGGATTTGTTGACACAACATCGTACGTACGTACATTCACTCATGCGCGTCAAAAATGTCGTGGTCACGACCAGCCACCCGTGGAAACGAAATGGGTCACATCAAGACACGATCAAATCGTTGAATGGATATCATCCATCCAATTCACAGTAAATTACACTCGTGT